ACAAATAAATTCTTTAAAAACTTTAAGAAATAAATAATTTCCATGTGTTATTAACTGTTGTAAAGCATGAAAAAATAATTCTGATTCATTAAGGCAGAATCTCATATAATCAATATCTGATAAAACCTACCTGTTAAATAATGTCACTTGTGATTATTATAATCATTTTCTTAAGTAAAATCTTAAGAGGCAAAAACAGTGACTTCTGGAAATATCATACCCAGATAAAGATTATCAGGTGAGCAAAGATTGTTAATTGCATATGAAAAATATATTATGGAATTGCAACTCTTATCTAAAAGTTCAAAGTCTAACAAAGCTTTGAAAACCAAAATTTTCTTAGTGTCTTTGGTAGAAATATAAGCCGAACTGACCTCCTCTTTGTAATGCCAATTTATCTTTCCCTGAGTCAATATTCATATGTACAGTGCAGAAATATTTATGTGAAATTTAAGTATAGCATACTGTTTCTGATCCTTTTAGATTTGTTAAATAATTTATAATATATGCATGGTATAATCCTTCTAAAATCCACAAAATGTTGAATACTAAAACACAACTTTTCCCAAGAGCTCCATCTTTAGAATTATGGAATTTAATTTACAGTATCTATAAACCAAAGAGAAAAATAATATGAATCTCAAAATCATAATCAGTATATTTCAATAATGATAACAGCTAGCATTTATTTTCTTGCTTTCTCCATGCTAGGCACAGTTCTATTTCCAGATATTAGCATTATATCTAAAAATCAAGGATTATTAGTATTATTCTTATTTTAAGATACGTAAATGGGAGCGTTGAAAGTCTAAGCAGAATTTTCAAGGTCAAATATTCAGTAAAGTATAGAGCTATCTCTTGAATCCAGTCAATTTAATATACATCATTGAAACAGAAAATGAACATTAGTAGGTATATCACATAAGAAGAAATAAAAATGTATATATAGCATATGATAAGATGGTGGTTATTACTTTGTCAAAACTTATCAAATTACACACTTAAATTGGTGAGGGGTTTTTTTTGTATTAATAATAGCTCAAAAAAGAAAAATATATCACTGGAAATCTTTAATGAAATACTCAATGTGCTAGGCACAGTGACACACAATTGTAATCCCAGCAGCTAGGGAATCTGAGGCAGGAGAATGGCAAGTTCCAAGCCAGCCTCAGCAAAAGCGAGGTACTAAGCATCTCAGTAAGACACTGTCTCTAAATAAACTACAAAATACGGCTGGGGATGTGGCTCAGAGGTTGAGTGCCCCAGAGTTCAATCCCTGGTTACCCCTTTCAAAAAAAAAAAAAAAAAAAACAAACCCTCAATAAATAGAGGACCAGAAAGTTTCAGTTTTGAAACATTTTAGAAAGTTACAATTTTAGGGGGATAAAAAGCTTGCATACAGGGAAAAATTGGAATTTATCTCCCCATAATCAAGGAAGAGCTGAATCATTTCAACAACAAAAACTCATATAATATTCAAGAATTAATTTTAAATTCTACAGTTGTATTTTGGAATAACCTCTTTGATGGTATGTATTTGTAAATTTATATTGTATCCTAAAATGGTATGAAATTAGAAAACTTAATTGGTACAATTACCTAATATTCTAACATTAAAACAATGTATTTGCAAGTTTTGTGAGCATACATGTGAAAGTTTCTTTAAACAGAATAAAAGAGAATACCCATGGAAAAATTTGGTGAAATATATTTCACATTTTAATAAAGTCTTTAGAATTGATAATATTCTGTCACTGTATGCTCAAATATATCAGCACTTACAGAATAGTCTCTCAATTTAAAACATATAATCCACAGAAAATTAACATTTACTACAAATTAATATCCTAAAATGGAACCTTGAAGATTTATGGCAATTTTATCCCATATAAGAAAAAAACAATTTTCAGAAGAGCAAAAACACTTGGGATAGATATGATTAAAAAGCTGATTCTTTTATATGTGAATATTTGTATGTATTGATTCATATGTAAGAATATCTTTTAAAATTACTCTGAAATTTTCTGCTTAAATAACGTGAGTTTATGTTTTGCTTTTTCTTAGATGTGATTTTAAAAAATTTAAAATTATTAATAGTTTCAGGAAATAGTAAAACCAATTTAAGTGTCAGTAAACATATTTGAAAATTATGTTGTTTAAGCATGTTTTAGCACCTCCTTTTGCATTCCAGAAAATTCTTGTTTGTTTATAAAATAAGTGAGCATCTGCCTTAAAAATCACTGTTCCAGTCATGATATAGAATAATCTCATTTAGTCTCCACCAAGGTAGTTATAAGGTATATTATTTTCTCTTCAAGATAAGAAAGCACTGACTCTCCATGAATAAACAGTTTGCTCAAAGTTGCAAGGCTTAGAGTAGGAAAGTCTAACTGAATTCAGTGTCATTTTAGGAAGTGGAAGTAATGCTGATTTAGTTTCTGTTCCCTGAAAGCTATACCACATAGAGACAGGAAGGGCACAATTTATTTAAAAATGTCATATTTATTCTTTCTTATTTGGTTTCTGGATAGAGAATCCTAAGTATCCCTGAAATATGACTGTTCAGTAAGTTTACAGCATTTGGCAGAACTCTTTGAAGCCCCTTGGAGTAATGCCAAAGTGACAAGGTCCCTTGTGACTTTGAATTCTCATCCAAATGAACACCTGCTGTCATTATTCCTATCAATTCTATAGTCAGCAAAGCCAGCACTCTCTTTGTGGTGGAACCCATTCAACACGGAAAAGGCCTGCCAGTGTTTCACACTAGTTTTTATTTTGCCCTCTTTTTTACTGAATGAATGATCTATTGCCTGAGTGTCTTGGATTTAGAGCCAATATTAAGTTCATCTCTGGTTATTTGGTGTCCTAATGGTCCATATTAGTGTACTCCATTGTAAGTCTAGTCTAGTTCTTTTTATATGTCTCCCCTTGTCTCTACTCCTCTCTCCCTTTCTCTGTCCTGTTTATGTTGCTATAGAAAGAATGAATTTTTATTATTATTGCAAAAATATACACTTGTAAAGAAAATTATACTACATAATCCATTTGTAAAAATTTGTTTCTCCAAGTTAGCAGAAACAAATAATTCAAACAAGAGAAAATTCAATGATATTCTTCCTATGGGTAACCAATATTGATCATTCATTTTCAGTCTTTGATTCATATTACTGTGCTTTTGTTTAAGTGATCTGCTGATGCATACATTTAATTAGAATACAACAGACACTAGTATGGCAATATGTAAATCAATGGATGTGTAACTGATGTGATTCTGCAATCTGTATATGGGGTAAAAATGGGAGCTCATAACCCACTTGAATCAAATTGTGAAATATGATATATCAAGAACTATGTAATGTTTTGAACAGCCAACAATAAAAAATTAAAAAAAAAAGAATAAAGATTAATAGACAAACCTCAAAAAAAAAAAAAAAAAAGAAGGCATTCCAAATTGATTTTGCACCAGAGTAGGGATAAAGTTTTTTTTTTTTTTAAATTAATGAATGATCATGCCACATATATATTACAAGTAGCTCAGTTCAGATTTTTCTACAATTTCATACCACATTAAGATAACTTCATAATCTATAATATGATTATGACTTAGAATTATAAAGAGAAATTCTTTGACTAGGTTTGAGAGCTATTGGATCAATAAACATGAGCCATGTTTTCATATTTCTACTTCCTAGCAAACCAGGAACTTGACCATGTTTTTTTTTTTTTTTTTTAACAAAGTTGTATGTTGAAAAACTAAACCATAGAGAAATTTTGGGGTGACTTTTAAAGGTGTTATTTCTATACTCATCTGCCTATATCCATGAGTCCTTTCATTTATGGATTAATTAAAACATTTGACAATTTTTAGAAAATAAAATGTTTATTCAGAAAAAAAAAATGATTATTAGCCCTTTCTTACAGGGATAAGCAACTCTCTGCCATCTGCATTGGGCATTGGTCCCTCTCTTGTTGGGCCTCATGCTTTACTATGCATGAGTAAGCACATGAGCCTTTTCATTTCATTCATGAGATTTTTAATCCTTGACTAGTGTTTCCAAGATTCTCTTAAATACACAACTTCTTTATTCCTTTGTGTTGGATCTTTTTCTTTAACTTCACTATGAGACAAATTAACATTTAATCACAACAATAGCTCTTTTCTGTTGAGATGACTGGTAAATATATTAGTTTCTCATTCGAGTGATTAATCATGTGGATGAAGAATGGGAAAATATCTCACTTGATATAATAGGTTTAACTCATTAATGTCAGAATGGACCCTTGAAAAGTTTGAATCACAATATCCCACCAACCTCACACATTCCTTGTAAATTTTATTAAAAAAAAAAACCCTCAGGATATCTTGATAGTAAAAAACACCCATTGGGGTTCAGAACTGTTACACTTAGGGTTTCAGAGATGAGTTATACCTGTCACCAGTTCTCCAGAAATAAGTCTTTCTCTTTGTTGCTTTTTACCATTAAGCAAAATGGTTCAGAAAACTTCTTGTGGACTGAACAGTTATTAATTACACACCAAGGACTTGACTTTGAAGTCAAGTATTACAGTTGCCTCTACTAGACCAGCACCCTCATACTATCTTTCTACCTACTCAAAGAAGTAGGAGCTTTTCTACCATCATTTTCCCAATTAGGCTGTCCTTCTAACTATTCTTTATCAATACTTTCAACTACTATTTGAGATTTATGATTTTATGTGCTATCTTAAACATACTGTGAGTCTGGTACCAAAATTAGATATTTTAAAGGAGATATATAAAACAAATAGAAATCAACTCCTAGATGTAAAGATGAACAGTAACCAATCATGACATGACACCATAAATCACACTTGTTCAGGTTTGACATGGATTATATGTCAATTTTAGAACATCTTGACAAAACTAATTTGAATTTAAAATATTGGTCATTTTTAATTTATACTTCTGTAGGATAATAGGATTATAAACTATTCTGTTTTTTCCCCATTTCTCCCTTTAGGATGCCTCCATTGCACACAGATTCCACATCATGAGAGAGAAACACCCAGAGAAATTCAATAGTAGGTAAGGTAACAAACGATGAAATTACAATTATGGTAATCAAATTGTGTCACAATAAATGATCTCTTTGTTAAAAACCTTTTATATATAATGGTTAAATGAGGTTCAGTGTATGTGTAACTATTACGATGAAAGTATAAATTAGTTGAATTTTTCTTTTCAGGTTTAATTCCACACTTATATGCTATAAATGTTGACAGTAATAATTTATTAAGGTAAGACATTCGTGTAACCTTTACATGGCTTAGTATGTGAATGGTGATCATCTTTAATCCCAAGCAAAAGTCCAAAGGTATGTTAAAAATCTTCTAGTCTTTGGACTCTTGGTTCCATGTAGGCCTCAATTAAATGCAAAATAACAGCAATGTCAATACCAGTATAAATTATTTTAAAGAGTTTTTGCTCACAGAGGAAAGCCTTGGCATAAAATAAGTTTTCTCATAATACCAATTGGCAAACATTTTCCCTTTCAAAATTTAGACAATAAATATCTGTAGTTACTCAAAGGAGTAGAGAAATCATTGGCTCTGTATTGGCTCCATGCTAGAGGAAATATGTCTCTCTTAACCTCACTCCCCTAGAAAATGAGGCAGAAAAAGTAAAGTGTCTTCTACTTCAGGTTACATTCATTTACACTCTATTCATTTCATAAAGTTACAAAATGATAAGCAGTATTTCTGTATAAGTACTTGAGTGATTTTATACATTAATGTTCAAAACAAAAGGCGGTTTTCTCTGTACTTGGCAAAGCTGACAATTGGCCAAGAATATTCCACACAATTCATTAAATAACTGCCACCTGGAAATTCTTCTGTTTATTTCAAATTTGTCATACCCTAGTATATTAAAGTAATTTTTCCATGTAGATTAATAATAAATAAATGCTATTAAGACATACTTTCAAAATTATTTTAGACCTTTTTAAACTGTACACTTAAGCATACTACTTTATATTATCCTAGTTAAAAAAATTGCATGATTAGTGAAGTTGTATCAGAGATTTCATTAAATTTACCTAAGTGTTTTATTAAAACAAATAAGTTTTTATTTCTTGTACTTTACCTTAGATACCATTTTGTTTGTTACCTTAGAAATCATAAATCATGAACTTATGGTTTTATTGTTATCTCAGAGTTCAAAAAGCTGTAATTTTTGTTTTAAAGGCAATAGAAGAATTCATATATGGTTATTGATAAGTGCACATTATATCTTTAGAAGGATTCAGAAAAGTTTTTTAATTCTGGAGTGAGAGAAATGGAATTGGGGGTTATCAGAGGAAGACAATTGAAAACATAAAGAGATACATCAGTGCATTTATCTGATAATCAAATTTGATATTCTATATATAAGATTGCCAACATTGATGACCATCCCTAATGTGTCATAAGTTAATGAGTTCCTTTCTGCTGAATAATTTTAATTCTTCTTAATAATAAAGACTCCATTTTTCACGTATGTCCATTTCACTTTTTATTCTTGATAGCACTAATTTATAAAATTCCTCACTGCCCAATATATGATTAGATGATATTTACAATAATGTGTTTGTATACCTCAATATTTTCATAGGATATAAATTTTACCTCATTGAAACTTCCTTGTAAATTTGACACATGAGTAAATCTTGCTTATAAATAGGTTACAGAGAATATTGAAATCAAAGACAGATAATGACTTCTATAATGATATACAGCGGCACATTCCATGGTGAGTTCAAAGAATGCCAGAGTTAGAGGTGTTGGACCATCCTTCTGTGGCACTATCAAGGCTGCTCTCCCTTCTGATCTGAAGTGGACCCCTGCACAGTCCCTGTGAATTGTTTAATTCAGGCTGAGATGGAGCAGCAAACCTGAGAGTGAGCCAGAAGTAGATGGTGCACCACTCCATCCATCTGTGGTCTTTCATTCTGAAGAGCTTGGACAATATATGCGAAAACATACTAGATATGGATGACATTGATGTGGTGAAACAATTTATGATATCTGGCCATTCAGGCAATATCAAATAATTCATCAGCAAAGGCCAGCATACCTGGACCCCTGACCCACAGTAGACAGGTGCATGGTCCTCATGCTCCTAGTCCTTAGGTCAATAACCAATTCCTCTCATTTTGGCTTCTCTAACCAGATGCTTTCTGACTTTGATCAGCTCTTCATTTTGACATATATATAGACTTAGGTGAAACAAAGACTAAAATGTAGTATTGAAGCCTAAATGAAGCTCTGGTCTCAATCTGGGAGCTCTCAAAACCCTCAAAAATTGCACTTAGGGCTGGAGTTGTGGCTCAGAGATAGAGCTCTCGCTTAGCATATATGAGGCACTGGGTTCGATCCTCAGCACCACATAAAGTAAAATAAAGACATTGTGTCCACCTATAACTAAAAAAAAAAATATTAAAAAGAAAGTTGTTTCCATATATTCACTAGTCGAAATAGTAATAAAAGAAAAAAAAATGCCCTGAATGCCCTCACCTCTCTGGAGCCACCTGCTGTTGCCAGGGTTAGATAGATGGGAAGATAGAGCACAGTGGAGATTGGGAACTTTATTAAAAAGATCTTATTTCATGTAAATCCCAGGTTTAAACCTTTTAGTGACTCTTTTTCCTTACTACATAGAATCCAAGTTATTTGTATTGTTCTTATAGTTTCAAGATTCAGATTTTGTTCAAATATAGAATTTACCTCGTACTAGCCATGTAAACTTAGGAAAGGTCTTTGATCATTATGCCATGTTTCTGCTTCTGGAAAATGAGACAAAAAAAAAAAGTATTTGACTGTGCATGGGCTGCATCAAATTCCCAATAACTATGTGCCAAGTTTCTGCCTCTTCCTGCCATCTCCAGAGTTGGATGGAATGTCCCACCACAAGGCATTTGATCTCTGATTCCAAGTAATGGCTGGCAATCTAGAAGTATGGGGGCATACTCATGGGTAAAATTTGACTAATGGGAAATGGGAGATAGAGAGATAGGCAGATGAATTCTGCCTTCTTTAGTCTCTTTCATAAATTGCTACAAAGTATCTTTTCTACAATTAGTACATCCTCTGGAAAATCCTTCCGAGTACCCATTGACATAACTCCTGTGCTTCTTCAGGTCTTTCATGAAGTAATTTCCAGCCTGGAAATTCATCACCTTGTATTACCTCCCTTTATTCCCAGCCTTACTTATATTTTTAACTCCTAATGTCTTATATTTTCACTTGCCAAACAAAATATCAATACTTTGATCTTCTCTTAGTCACTGTTTTCTGGGTTACTTTGGGGTGGAGAGAGAGGAGGACATTAGACCAGAGTGGGGGTGGGAACTATAATCCTGCTTTAACCTCATCTCCTTTTTCCATTTAACCCAGGAATATGAATTAACAAATACTATATATTAAGAGGCCTGTCCTGCCCTACTGTCTCCACAAAAGGTTGGAGAGATAATGACTATCTTGGAAATTCAGTGTTATAGTATAGAACCTTATTTCTGGATTTGGTAGGACATTTAACTAATATGCAACCTAATAGAAAAGAAGGTAGCTTTTGTCATTTGGCAAGCTGGAATGCCATACAGGATCTATCTTCTCCAGAGGTGCATTTCTTCCAAGAGAGATGATGCCTTTTATACTCGTTGCCTAAACCCAGTCCAGTATTATGCTCTCCCAGGTAATAGCCACAGAAAGGTTAAATAGGATTGGTTCTTGTGCTCAAGGCACCATCTTGGTCTTGAGGCTGAGAGGTGCACATAGGACAAGTGACCACTGTGAAGAGGAGTTCCTAAAGAAGAAGTCAGAAAGGCTTTCTGGAGAAGGAAACCCATGAGCCCATTAAGAAAGTGTAACATTTGGTAACCACTCAAACATTAGAATAAACTGATCAGGTGAATGAAGAGTGAAGGATATTCCAGAAAGAGAGAACACTTGACCTGGCAACTGCTCAGATAGTCATCTGCAAGTTTATACTCATTCGACCAAGAATTTTTGAGCCCACAGTGCAAATAGCACCAGGACTATATTGACCAATTGTGAGGAGCACAGAGAAAACTAAAGGATGTGTCAAGGAAGAAAGACTTTTCAGGCATTGCCTGAGTCAAACCTGAAGGTCTCAAGGGTATCAGCCATTCATTCCATTTTTGAGCCTGTACCCTTAGTGTTGCCCTGTGCTGGACACTAAGGTCCAGTGGTTTGTAAATGAAGACACTCGACTTCTTCATGGAGCCAAAAGATGTTAGATAAAAATTCTGTATTTGTTCAGTACTGCCAAGGACAGATTGCAGACCTTGATAGGCTCAAATTTAATTCTCAGTCTCTGATCAAGCCTTGTGGCCTGGGATGTACCTTCCCCTTCCTTTGCATTTCCACCCCTTTCCCCATTTTTTATTGCCCCTTAGGTTGGTGCTGCTAGTGGTGTCAGTTTATCTGGGGAGGGTATCCAAATGTCCTCTACCTAACTTGAAGCCAAGTAGACATAATATAAAATAGAAGTAGTATGGACTTATTAGTCACCCAGTCACTAGCACTGGTGATTATGACCCAATTAAAGGTCTGGGGAATGAACATCTCTTTTACTTCTGCTTCAACACCAGGTCCCCTCCATGGAACAAGCCATTATAGGTTAAATGAGCCATGGCTGGTCTCCATCCTTACCTAGCTCTGCAGGTAGGGTCAGCAGGTGAGATTGCTTGTTGCTGGGTAGCAGAGTGAGAGGTTTGGTTGGTGACTCACTACTTTTGTTGAGGTAACCAGAGCAATGTAACTCCTTACATTTCCAAATCAATTAGGTACTTGCATTTCCATCTATATTTTTGTAGATTGTCTTTACTTAGAGTTCCAAGCATTTAGATAATTCCCTAAACTATAATGTAAACATTCAGAATATGAATACTTTCTGACCAATTTCTCTGAAGATAAGATATCGTATACAAGCAATTTCAGATGTTTCTCAAGGGTGGATTTTGGAATTCAACATTGAGACTAGCTCAGGCATAGCACACTTTCACATGTTCAGGAATTCACAAATGG